ATGCACTGTTCAGTGACACTACAATCATTTACTGTAATTCAAAACGGTTTAATCAGCCACTGGCTTACTATATTCATTTTAAACCACTTTTAGATTAAATTTATTCATTGTTTTTAGTTTTAATGGCTTTGAAATAAACTACTAATAATGTAAGTTAGCAAAACATTTTAAATGAGTTTCCAGTCCTGTTCATTTTGACTGATAAGAACTCATTTTAAATATGTTAATTTTTAGTGTTTACTGCCGTGAAGTCATTTAAATGTGAGCAAACAGCCGCGCTAAAGCGCTGAAACGTGTTAGCATCCAGAGCTAACCGGCTAAACACGAGGCTATAATGCTGTCTCATCTGCCGCTGCTTCCACTGGGCTAATTTTAGCTTTGCACACAAATCCGTTCCGAAACGCAGCGAGGATTGATTTATTTACATCAAACCACCRGTTTGCAGTTTTAGGGGGGTTATCGGGGCTAAGATACGGGTTGCAGAAGTTAGCTAGCTTGGCCTTTAGTTTACAACATATTAAAACATAACTGTACGAATTACTGCGACTTGCGTTGACATTTACTCACGTTATAACGACTAATTTAGGCAAAGCTCCGTTTTTTTTTTACTTTAAGAGTCCTGTGGGTAGTCAGCGGGGTAAAAATGTGCAGCATGCGCCGCAGCTACCGCACAAGTTGCGGCTACCGTTATCCAAATGTGTGAGCTGTGCGAATGCTAACAGCGGCTAGCCGTTAGCATTCCCCAGCAGCCGAACAGAAACTCAAACAGACGCCCTGTTTGACAACAGCTGGCGAGGAGGAGTCCGTTTTCCGCTCAAAAGCACAACTTTTCCGGCCGGTGACAGCGCGGATGCGGTTCAGATGACACCGAGCGCGCTGCCACCGACAGGCGGAGCGGCTGAGCGCCGAGCGCGCTGCTCCAGAAGGCCGCATGTCCCTTTGATTCAGCCTGGTCACCCACACCCTGCCCCGCCACCCAACAACTCCGCGCCGACAGAACCGCTCCGCAACTACTTCGACGGAACCCGCCGGCCGGTGAGAGGCCTCATCGCTGCMCCGGAATCCGCTGCGAGCTGGGCGGAAAACCCCGCTGAAGTTCTTCATTTATTCCCTAAAGGAAGAAACACGCGCCATGCCACACTTACCTTCCGAGCAAAAAGAGGACCGAGAGTGCGCACGCGCGGCCAACTTCACTGCAGCATCCGTGGAGGAAGGAGGGRGGCGGAGGAGGGGGGCACTTCCGGTGGCAGCCAGGCAGAAAGGGTTGCCAGGTCTGAGCTAACCTGGCAACCCGCTACTAACTTAACGAATTTAACTAAAAAATACTTTTTGTTTGATCTGGTTAATCTGTTTATCATAACAAATTACATTTTAAAATAAATTATGGTTTTATTAAATTAATATGAGTTCGTTTCAGTCTATTTTATCCATCACGTCGGTGGTTCCCACAGAAATTCTCTGGTCTGGGATCACCTAGGATCTGGAGAGGGTCTGAGGAGGACATCTGGTTCTGTCCTGAAAGATAAACCTTTGTTTATTGGTCAGAAACATAAAAACATCAGAAACAAACTGTGAGCAGAAAGAAGAACAAGCTAGTATGGATTTTAAGAAAGTATAAGAAAGAATACTACAGTGATTTATTAAATTAAAGTAAAAGTGATATGAAGGCAACATGGATATATATATAT